AGGCGTCGATTTAAAGAAAAGAAATGTGGACGTGGATTTGTTAAAGAATGTTATTTATAGGATTATCAGTTCCTAGATGTTGGGATTTTAAATATTTGTGGAGGTATATTTTTCTTCGGCTGTCGGAGCCTAGAGTGTGGATTTTAAAACATTTTGGAAAAATATTTTTCTCAGGATTAACAGAGCTCCGAGTGTGGAATTTTAAAGATTTTTCATAGACTAACAGAGATACAAGCGTAGAATTTTTAAGGACTAATAAATAGGACTTTTGTTTTTTTGTGATTTTTATTTTCTTTGGTCTATCATAGCCACACGTGTGACTATGGTGGGACCAACTGAGCCATAAACGGGATTTAAAAAAAATGTTCCCTATGACAGAGTCAATAAGAAAATATCGAAAGTCTTCAAGATAAATTAAAAGGCTTTGAAGAGTTTCCAGAAGGCCTCTCGGGACTTTCAAATAATATTTATAGAAGGCTTATGTTGTCAGGGAATTATGGTTTTGTGTGGCCAAAAGAGTGTGTAACGTCGCGAAATATTGAATCTAGTCACACCTTTTAGTATATAACATAATATATCGTAGTAAAAAGTAGTAGATTCTTGCAGTACGGGAACATACCAATAATTGTATACCCTACACAACAATGTTGTGAACCAATTATGGATTTGATTTTGGCCAAAAAAGACCCCTATTGTGTTTTGTAATAATCGGTTACAATTTAGGGGATGAAATTAACCAAAAACGTTTTGTCTTTTGTTCTGGTCGCTGTAGAGACCACAATAATGACCCGAACATCAGGAAATGTTACATGGGGAAGGGGATCCCGTCAATGATTAAGCATGACTCTTTTCAGTCAATATGTAGCGCATCTAATGGACCCAGACTTTTGTGTGAAACACGCATTCTATGGCGTACATGTTCACTCGTGAAGGGCCAATAGCGAATAACTTGATAGTACATATATGTAATAGGAATGGTTGACCGTTAAATAAATACCAGTTACAGTATGTACTGGAATGTGGGAGTTGTACTTAAATATTTAAAGAGGTCTACGTATTCTGATACTGTTTAGTATCCTATTGTAACAATAGAGGAGAGAAATGTCGCTGTAATCGCTTTGAAATTTTACATGAAGTTCTGATTATGGTTAGGGACGACGTCTATAATTTCCGGTGAGGATCAGATGACATTAGATTGGAATTTTTAAGAATATTTCTGTTAAGACTACCTGAGCCATAATTACGAACATTATATCGGTCTATTATTAGAAGTCCTATCTGACCCATAAATCTGAATTTTTTAAGAATATTTCCAAAAGGTCAATGTTTACAGGAGCATTTTTGTCATTTTTACAAATATTTGTTCTGTTCCCGTACTGCAAGATTCTACTACTTTTTACTTCAATAACGAATTTTCCTTCATGGTATCCAAGAAAATAAAAAAAAATCTTGTAGATTCTAGCAGTACGGGAACAGACAAATTTTCTTCTTTGCATTAGAGCGATTTTTAAATATTTTATCAGTCTATATTCGAAGGCCAAGCGGAACATAATAATTAATTTTTTAATATATTCCTTAAGCCTCCTTTCTGAGTTTTCTATGAACTTCTTTCGGATTTAAGTCCGCTATCAATCGAATCGAGACCTCACTCTATATACATTTGAATAAAAAAATCTATTAACAGCAAATAACGTGTTATGAGTCATTCGTTTAAAAAGGCCTACTTTTTATTGGAATTTTTTTCTGTCGATTTGTTATTATTATTTTATTTGCATACGGCACAATTTCTTATTTAAATACCTATGTACGAACACTTGTTTGGGTATTTTCAAATCAACATCATCATCACTGCTGAAAAAACAACAACAAATTGCCAACATCGACATATTCAAGCCCAATAACTGAATGGTTATCGTATTTGGAATAGATCCATAAATTTTAATTGCCTAAACGCCTCGTTTTTTTCTGTTGTTATTCTTGGCATTGCTTACAAAAAGGGGTGGGTGCACCACCTCCTGCCTGCTTGTCATCGTCTTCTGATGGAATTTTTCTTTCTTTACGATTGTGGTGGCTCAATTAGATTGGCAAAAGAAATATGATTTACACAATATTTTAATTGCTATTAATTTGTAAGATTTTTGTTCTATAGTGTACAAAACACAAATACAACTGTTATGTTACCCCGAAGAAGGAACAAATATGGGGCCAAAATATAAACCCATATATATCCTTCCAAATCTCAACTCTATCACATGAATTTTTAAGGCTATTTTTGGGGGACCGTTTTATGTTAATATTTAAATAGACGATTTTTTACAAAAATTTTAGTAGCACAATTTTTAGGTGTACTGTCGGAGGTATAGGAATTTATTTAAGGACTTTTTTCAAATTAACATCAGAAGATTTTTAAGACTATTTTCATGTGGACCATCAGAACAATAAGCATATATTTTTTAGGAATATTTTTTGGTGGATCAATAGCTTGGATTTTTAAAGTATTTTTGGGTTAGTTTTGCAAAGGATGTCAAATGTACATGACAACTTTAAACATTAGTTCAAAAAAAATCTGACCATTGAACGGGGTTTTTAACAAATATAATTGTCGTAGCCCCAACCATTCCAACAATTATTTAAAAAATATTAACCTAACAGAAATTCTTTGGCACAATTATTTCGATGACAATATTATGTCAAGGTTTTGAGAACATTTAATATTTTATGCGACACAAATGTGTGCTGCTAACCACAGACCATATGTTCGGCAACATTTTTGGTTATTAGCTGAACAGATGCGATAGATGAATGAACTAACAAAATACTAAAAATATTGGCACATATTTAGTTTTCAGAAAATGCGCTATTAACAACTACATACATATACGCGAAAACAATTTTAAAACGAATATTCCATCCTGACGTCATATCAGAATATTGACTAAATTAGCGGCATATTTATGTAGATGAAAAAGAAACCACCGGCTATTGGCCAACAAGAAAAAATAGAGTGCTTAAGAAAAATTGATTTTAGTTTGAACCGCAAACCCCATCAACATCATCGCCAATGTCAGTGGTTGGCTATCAGTGATAAATTGGCTAATATGTCCATTATTGGCTGCCAGCCATGGTGGCGAATGATATTTACAAAAGAAAAAAATAAGAGAATAATGAAAAATGTTAACTATTAATTGTTCTTCATTTGTTTGGTCACCGCTGAAACATTGTTTTTTTCAAGAAGATGGCTGATTTGGGCGCCAGTTTTACAAAGGGCAAATATTATAAAAATTGTCGGTTTTGGGTAATAATATCAAAATTATTTTAGGTAATTTTACTCAACTCTCTCAATTACAAACTAAAGAAATTAGGCCTAATGTTAATTGGGACTAACAAAAATAAATTCAACATGAAATAGAACGTATTGGAAAATATTGTTTAGAAATTCACACTATTGGTTCTAAAAGTCCTTTGGAAAATATTATTTCCAAGACTACACTTTTGGGTCTGAAAGTCCTTGGAAAATATTCTTTAAATATTCATACTCAGATGTAGCTCAGATGGTCCTTAGAAAACTATTCTTTAAAAATCCACGCTTATTCCTTAAATAGTTCTTCGAAAAAATATACTTAAAAATACTGGCTTGTAGTTCACATGGTACTCTGAAAAATATTCTTAAAAACCACTCTTGTAGCTCAGATAGTCCATAGAGAAGTATTCTTTAAAAATCCACGCTTAAAGCTCTGATAGTCTTTAGAAAAATATTCTTAAAAAATCCAAGCTTGTAACTCAGACGGTCCTTTTAAAAATGTTCTGTAAAAATCCTTGCTTAACTCTGATATTCTTTAAAAAACCACGTTTGCAGCTTAGATGTTCCTTTAAAAAAGATTCTTTAAAGAATCCAGGCTTAGCTCTAATAGTGCTTTGAAAAATATTCTTGTAAAATCCACGATAATAGCTCTGATAGTCTTTAGAAAAATGTTCTTAAAAATTTACACTTATGGGAAGTGTTCTTTAAAAATCCATGCTTGGCTGATAGACGTTAGAATTTTTTTTTTTTTTTTAAAATTTTCGAAATTTTATAAAACAATATAAATATTCTTTAAACAATCCACAACTATAATTTGAAAAAGTTCTTATAAAATCCACGATTGTACATCTGAAAGTCTTTAGAAAAATTTTCTCAAACAAAATCGCGATAATGGGTCCTTTGAAAAATTTTCTTTAAAATCTATGCTGGGCTAATAGTCCTTATTGAAAACGCTTTAAACAATTTACTCCTATAGATCTGATAGTCCTTCAGAATTAAAAAACTGAGCTCATTGAAAAATCGGGTAAAAAATCCACACTCAAAGTTTTGATAGAGACTACCCTTATGTCCTTACAAATTATTCCTAAAAAATAAAATTTGTCCCCTAACAAATCATACCAAACCTTGATCCCTAATATAGTTCAGTTCATTCACATGTAAATTTTATTTTGAAACACTATTCAAACCTATGGAAATTGACATTTTATTTCCAAAGTTTTATGAAATTTGATTACAAATGGATATTGACAAATTATCTAGGTCGTAAGCGAATAATTAAAAAAATACAAATTTAATATTTTTCTCAATTCTATTGCAGATCTTTCACATCCCGTTTTAAGGCAGTAAAGGAAAATTCAAAATTACATTTTTCCATTTTTCGTTTGGGCTTTGTAAAGAGGAAACTTCTAAAAGCATTGACGGTGTATGTGGCCACAGCTACCATTTGTCAAATGGCATCGAAATGCAAGTGAATTAAAAACAAAATTCAAAAAAAAAAAAATGTCTTCGTAGTTAAGTTCTAATCAAAGTTTGTAATTTTATTTAAATATTTAAAAAACACGTTCTATGTCACATATATCTACATATGTATATATGCATGTCTATAAGGATGGGTATATCTTGACAAATAAACTCTTTAAAATATCAATATTTATAAATACTTTGCAATTTTTATTTCTGATGCCATAACATTTCTTTCTCACACTACCATGCGTTTATCTCTCGGCTGTGTCTGTGCCTCAAAAATCACAGACCATGATTTTTCGGCATGTTGTATTTTCTTCGGCACGTTCAAAGATTGAGTTTTTCTAAAAAGAAATAATTATAATTTACAACATGGCTCAGTATCATAAGATATTCGAATATATTATCTAATTTCCAAATCAAATCTTACCTTAAATCATGCAACACCTTTTGACAATCTTCGGGAATACATAGCAATTTAGGCTTAGGCCGTAATTCAAATAAATCACTATTTGACTTGTTCGATGTTGTGGCACACAGCATCCCACTTCCTGGAGTAGATTGTAGGGATCGAATTTTTGGTACAGCACCGTTAGACATTTTTTTCTTGTATTTTTGTTTTCACCAAAAGAAAATATGAAAATTAAAGAAATATTTATTTTCGAATTTTCTACTGTACTGACATTTAACGATGTCAGATATCGACATTATAGCTATGTTCCAGAACCTGCACGAATGCAAAATGATAAAAAAATGTCCTTTATTGGTCTGTTCCTGCAATAATCTATTAATTTTTTTCTTCGATATTATAAAGGAAAAAAATTACATTTTTGCAGGTTCTGGAACAGACAATGATATCGACAATATAGTACAAATTAGTAGATTCTTACAGTCCTGGATCTGATCATATATGTTTCTTTATATAAACGCAGTAATCGGAGAAATATAGCAAGGAGGGAACGATTATAGAGCTCAACTCTTCCGAAATGCATGTCCTCTAGACAAGCATATTCTTTGGTGACCTCTAGAACAGACAATAATTCAATTGTTGGACCATTTGTTCTCCTAAATATTCGGTCATGTTTTCCTAAATATACGGTCATTACCAGAAAGTATAGTCTACCGAAATACAAAATTTCGTGACGATGTCATTCAAATATCAACGCTACTGGATGTCTTCAAAAAATCCACGCTTTGGCTGCGATAGTCCTTTACGAATAACTCTTTAAAAACGAAATATACGCTCCCCCGGATCCGATAGTCCTTAATATGATATTTAAAAAATCCTCGATAGACCTAAGAAAAAAATATTCAAAAACGTACCGCATTAAACGGCATACATTAGAACTTTTTACCGGGCTAACCTACTTTATGAGGATTTATTTGACATATATGCAAAGGAATTGACAATTGGAACCCACTTGGTTAACGAAATCCGGTTAAATGTAAACGATTATTTCACTGGTTATTGACATTATAGTTTCGTTCAAGAACCTACAAATTATTTTGTACACTGAGAGCGATTTTGAATTTTTTCCCATTTCTAGTTTTACTACTAAAAAAAGTACTGGAACAGACCCTATGTTAACCCTTTATTTTTTTTCAAATGTACTTCTTTACCTAATTTGTCAATAATTTTTCAAAAAAAATTCCCCATTTTTTTTAAAACATTTTGTGTCATAAACTTCAAAATAATAATAAAAAAATAATTTTCAGCATAAAGTCGATAAAACAAATAAAATATAAGAATTTGTAAGAAATTCCCCTCGAAACATGGTTCGTTACAACCGAATAGTGGTCGCGATCCTGATGATACCCTACATAGCTGGTGGCATCTATTTGGGCGTACTTCTCATGAGGAGATACCATTGTGATTCGAGATATTATTATTCGGGAGATCCAGCTTTGAATGATGCTGAAGCGCCTAAAAAGAAAAAAGATGGAAAGGATGAAAAGGCTAAATTAGTAGATGAGAATAATGCCCTTGTTCTTGAACCACAAAAACATTTGGATGAACGTTATTGTGCCGGAGGCTATCATCGATTATTGTGTTTGATTGCAACTTTGTTGCTGGGATTTAGTGAGTTTTTGAAAAAGAAACAAATCAATAGGAAATTTAATTAATTATTTTGGATTAATCGCAGCCATTATTATTTATCGCCTGCTAAATGGATACCGTACCCGCACCGTCAAATACATTCATTTGCTTCTGCATTTGATCACCTTGAGTCTGCTCGTGGGCAGTATCTGGTGTACCCGTTATAACATGTACACCATATCCTACCACAAATACGATTATCACACCACATCTTCATGGGTGGTATTATCTCTATACGTTGCTCAGGTTCTGCTTCCAAGTCATATGCCTTCATTTGCTTCGGTTCTATTTAATTGATTTAAACTATTTCTTTGTAGTTTGTTGGTGGGCTCTCGATCTTCGCCTATTTCTATGAGAATAGGAGATTACGTTTGTTGGCTGCCCCCTTCCATGATATTATCGGCATTTGGTTATACATTAGTTTTGTGGCCTGCATCATCTCGGGCAAACGTCACGCCCTAATGGATTATTCGGAAGCGAATGATATCTGGTTCACTGGTGTGGCCTATGCAACATTTGCTTGCATTCTCATTGTCATTCTAAGTCCATTCTTTGAATGGGATCTGGTAGGTAAGGCTTGGGATTGTTGGATATTATTAATTTTCTTATTTTAGGTGGGACCTTTGTAAATGCCATATGGGAATTCAAGATTTGTGCATTTTGAATTTAATATTTTTTTCGAAATAAATGTTAATTTCGTTCAATGGAAGATGTTCACTGTTGCAGTTCTTATTGTTGGAGAATGCTAATGGCAAACGAACAATAGAAGTTTGTAATGTTAATAATTAAAAAATTAGGATTTAAAATAATTTGTCTGCATTACCGTTATATTCGAAATCGCTTAAAACTACGCAGTCTATAATTACATATCGATTGCGAATATTATCGGCAAATTTGGTTGAAAATCGGCCAAACTATAACATTGTTTACATTTTCATACGATTAAGTCAAAATTAAAAGCATTTTGACAGCTCGGGTGAAATCATCTGGCCTTTTTGACCATTGTGCCGACAATAATTTCGCTTTTATGACGTTTTTGTACTTTTTACAACGTGTCAAATCTATAGGCATTGATATGAGTTATATTTTGGTAATTTTTTGGTTATTTTTCTTTTATAAAAGCACTTTTGGTCATTTTAGGTCACATGAAAATGGTGTACATGTTTGTATGAGAAAAACAAAGCATCAGCATGATCTTCAACCCATGTGAACGTGAACACGTTGCTTCTATCAAATTATGTAGCATATTTTTAGGCGCTTTATTTAACATGACAATTACACAGTATTGTGAATATCCATATTTATCTACGCTCAACGGCATAAACGAAGGTTATGTTAAGTTTTTCATTCCGTTTGGCTTCCTACCTCCCCGAAATCTTCTGGATCGGAATAAACTTTATTTATATATCGCTCCACAAATATATATATATATGGGCAATATTGCCAATTTTTAACATAGCTGAAGCGGAGGTTCACCCCTTTATAACTCGTGAACTACTTAAGTATATGAAAAAAAGTGAATAGTTTTGGGTTAATTGATCTGTCCTTGCAAACTGTTCATGATATTGACCTCCAAACTTTATCTTGGTGGAAGCTGTGTCTACTTTAATGTAAAAAATGTGTAAAAACAGGTTGAGTCGAACCAGTTTTTTTATGTTCTCTATCGATTTGTGACTAAGCAACTCATTGCACGGTCTTTGTGTCAAAATAAAACTAGAAGCCAACAAAATGGGGACTACGCCCCTTATGTATTATTTTTCAAAATTTTAACTGAATATACCTTTAAATGATGCTGACATTTTGAGGCTCGGTTTTGAGTGTTTTTTTTTTAATTTTACTTCTAGCTTTAATACGCAAACAGGAATTTATAAAAATCGATTATAAGATTATTGTAGTCGCGAATCTGGGTAATTTGATATGTATTTTGTGTATGTAGTATGCACAGCTTCAGAGTAATACTCATCCGAAGGTGCGAATTTTGTGCGATCAAATTTCTAAAAAACCTATTTTTCGGGCCAAATTTTTAGATCTCTCAACTGAATGATATGGGTACCCGCGATCAATAAGGTTTTTTACGTTTCGGATGATATAAAATCTTCTTCCTGAAAATCCATCTACTAGAACGGCGGGAACTGGCCTTCCAAAAACACGAAATTTGACAAAAAATGTTTTTGAAAATATCGCGGATTTATTTGCGTTTTCTATGGATCATTTCCGCTTCAATAAATGACCTCATACGGATTTTGATCTTGTTCGAAAAGAGAACTTTAAAAACTGCAGCCGAAAGAGAGATGTACCCAATTTATCTCAAAACTAGTGTGAGCCGGCACATCCATAGATAGATCGATGTATTTTTTTTAGGGTGCACACCGAAATCGGATGCGCGTTAATGGCATATGGAGTTTTCGAAAATTATTCGCGTTTTACGATTTTTTGGGTACTTCAATGTAACGTGCGGCACATCTTAGCCGTCAAATGAAATTTCGCAAAATATATATGGATTGGAAGGTAAACTTCAGTACTTCCTGGAAACCGCATGCGCATCAAATGATTTTGAGAATTACGCGATTTAGACGCAATTTATCTCAAAAATAGTGTGAGCTGGCACATCCATGGTTCTTAATGGACCACATTGAAATCGATATAGATCGATGTATTTTTTTAGGGTGCACACCGAAATCGGATGCGCGTTAATGGCATATGGAGTTTTCGAAAATTATTCGCGTTTTACGATTTTTTGGGTACTTCAATGTAACGTGCGGCACATCTTAGCCGTCAAATGAAATTTCGCAAAATATATATATTAAAACCTCGATAACTTTTGCGCGCATCAACCAAAAATTTGATCGCGAACGGTTTCGGAGTCAGAACATTTTTCTCTATATGTGTACCAAAAATCATAGATGTGCCACAAAAACAAAAAAGCTGATTTTTTGAAAATGGAATATTAAAAAATTGGCAATATTGTCCATATATATAGACCTCATATTATTTACCGTCTTTCTCCCATATGACTTTAAGGGACCATATGGCAAATAGTTTTATAGAGGACCATATAACACTTTAATAAAATCCTTATTATCCTTAACTATGGTGATGGAGATTTTTTATACCCTCAGTCTTATGGCTACTGATGGTATATATACATTGCAGACGCTTTGGAGTTGATTTACAAATGTCCTTCCGTAATATTTTTTTCAAACATAGTTCAAGTTCGAAGACGTGGAATTTGAGTCCACTAATTTTATAATATCATGCGAACGGGCTAGCTGAAGATGGGACCCATTGGTCCACTCCTTCTGGTACCTCCCCATATTATATAAATCCAATATAAGGCGAATGGAATGACCTTGACGTAATAGTTTTATCATGCCTAGATTAAGTCCGAAGATGGGATCCATTAGTCTACTCCTCGTGGTCAAAATTTTCAATATTTTTAAATTGGAATGTCCGATTTGAACAAAACTTTATACAACCGATTATTTAAAAACAACTGGGTATT